CTTTGGCTTGAATGCTCCTGGGAAACTAACTCGTGTATTCTTAACATTAGCGTTTCAAAGTGCTAGTCCCTTTGTGGTGATAGAATTCAAAAGTCATTCAGAATTTGCTGCAGCACAAGTTCCTTCTTTGCTTTTCATTCTTCCCCTCTTGGTACTGCATCAAAGACAAAAGAACCATTTGGTTTACGCAAGAGGAGTGAAAGAGATTTCGTGAAAGCCTCTTAACGAAAAGTCATTTAAATTGCGACAATTGTTTGCGGCCCGAGTAAAGTTCGGAAATGTTGGGAACCCAAAAGCACAAAGGAAGGTAACTGCAACACTACTTTGACAAGTGGCTCACTTTGAAGGACATTAGCTTAAAGAGCTATCCTGGCTGCAGAGGCAGATGGAGAAGGCCACCGAATGAGAATTCAGTGCAGTCATGCCAGTCAGCCGTGCTTTGGTCTGCTGCTCCAGAAATGCCAGGCCAAACTTCTCATCTTTAGCTTCATGGATGGTAATAAATAATGGAAATCTGTTTCTCCTTAATCCTAGAGCAACTTTAAGGACGTGGATTAAGCCCCTACTTTCACCGCTTTCCGAATTGTTTGCAGATATAGTATTGGCTTTAGACCTTTTTATTCACAAAAGAAAATCCAGTCGATGCATCAAAGTTGCTAATCTCATCAACCCGTTAAGAAAACGCCAAGTTGCAATTTGTCATCATAATAATAACTCCTGCTGCTGATCTCGTTTTGTTCCGAGTAGCATATTTGCCTTTTTGTAGAGCAATTTAGTTTTTGTAGCTAAACATCCTCAAAGTTTAATCGGATTAAAACCCCTCTTTCGCTCCGACAACATCGACTTTCATCTTCATTGTCGAAATTGCCCACACCTCATAACCCAACCCAAGCACACACCCCACTCTAGGCTTTAACGTCTTCCTCAGTTTTTGATGGGAAGCTGAAGGTTTTTGGGGAATCAGTAATTGACCTTCTGGCCACCACAGCATCGCAACAACATGTGCATGCTCAGAGAAGCGATCCATGAGTAATAATGTGTGAATAAATAATAAATCAAGCCATGCGAAAGTAGACAAAGAAGTTTATAGAACTAGAGCTGCCGTCTGCTAGAAGAATGCAGAAGGGCCTTGAGATGCTTGATTTATGCCCATGCGATGAATGTTTAGTGCTTTCGCTAGGCTCTCTTAGAATGAAAGGTAGTATTCGAGCCTGCAGGGATCGGGGAGCTTGCTTGGTTGTACAAACTTTTGACTAATTCCCCCTTTGCTCAATATTAGCTACAAGACTGGAATGCTAAGTTGACAGCTGCTTTTTCTCAGAAAAGGCAAGGTGCTCCATTGCAAAATAAGTAAATCTTGCCACTCCGTGGATGTTATCTTTCCAACCACGTGCTATTCAATTAGGACTCGTGCAAAAGGTACCGCAAGACAGCAGACGATGTTTTACAGTGCTATCCTTAGTATGAGGGCGGAACCCACGTAATCAGAAGTACAGTGGATGTTGGTGTCTTAACGCTTACCCTTTGCGCCTTTCCCAACTCCTTATAACGCAGAATAGTAAGGAAGTATGATGCAAGTTGCTCACTGCTTGATTGCGGTATAGCCATTTTACACAGTGGCTTAAGGCGCACTGAGTTGGAAGTTAATTTGTCCCGAGTCACTGTGCATTTTTAAGTTGAATCTCTGAAGTAGCGCATCACCAGTTTGGTTACGATACAAGCCCTCATACTAGTAACAACACATTTGTAATGCAGCGATTAGGATTCCCTCAGAGGACATTATGAAGCTTCAAATGAAGCTGTTATAAAAGTGGTACGGATGATCAAGACATAACCGATTCGTAAATCAACGCTCCCATTGTCAGCGATGTAAGATAATAATTGTGATAAAAAGTGTGAACCAGTTAGATTACCCTTCACTAGTTAACCAAAATGCTTTCTTAACTTCCCAACCAATTTTAGTGCCTAGATTTTACTATAAACTTGAGTTATCGAAATAAAATTGTGCATGCAAGTAGTGTGAACGATGTAATTGCCACTTAGGAAGCAGAAGAAATGTTTCCCACGATGGCGTCGGTAGGTGTACTTGGGTGTAAAACCAACAACTACACTTTATTGCCTTGAGAAGGCGTTCTTACAAAGAAATAAAGACTCAGTTGGGGATAAGTAAAATGCCTCAGATACGCTTATGCAGCTAGCCATGTTAAATGTGTGCTAATTTTAGCGCCAACGGTATCACTGCCTCGGCTGACAGAGTGTTAGCTATAAATATCAAATGTAAAACCATCCTCCTTTTTGTTGTCCCAGTTTACCCTCCCATCGAAGAGGACGTGTAGCAAATATATTTTTATTATCTCATCTCATCTCCTCCCGTCATCCAAACATTAATCTTTCACTGGCAACTTTTTGGGTTTCAAGAGCTGAGAAATGGGGTAAATTAGAGGTTCCCATTGTCGTTATTGTTCACCTCTCTCCTCCAAATGTTACATCCATTTAGCAACTTCCATGCTTAAGGACTTCTGCGTGCTTTTCGCATTCATTTGTGTAATGAAGCGTCGCCTTAAGGGAGGAAAGGCGTCTTCAAATAAACTACTTGTCGTCAAGACCGTCCTAGTGATGAAGCCAATCGAAGGGGGCGTTTGATTTAAATCTCGGCTCAATCGATGCTGCAATCGACCCACGGTTGCTTATTGAGGAGAATTGCATACCTGTGCACACTTGAATAAATTACATGGACGAAAGCTATTGAGGGCATTTTATCATCTACACTCACAAGACCGCAAATATCAAGTCGGCTGCTCGCTCGGAGACCCCGGCACGAAATACTCAAGTAGCGACCTTTGTAAAGCCGCAATGAAGTGAAATTTCCTTCTCTTAAAGGGAATAATCGGTGATTATCATTCTAAAGAGAAGTAGTGGCTGGAGAGTTTTGTCAAGAGGCTGCAATTCTTCGTAGAACTTATGCTATTTGGTCCCTTGTATTTTTACGAGCAGCCCCGACACTGATGCAAAAAAAGTAATGTTTCATTCATGTAGCACTTAAGACGGTTTCAAGAAGTTGCAGCTTTCTTAATACAGTCACTGTTTTAAGCTGTAATCGCTCTGACCTTAAATGAGACCACCATTGGACAATAAGCCGACAAGACCTTCACTATGGATGTCTTTGTCACCAGCACGGGTGCGAAAAGACGTTAAATACGGCTAAGTGCCAGAAACCACTCAATGGTGGATCAGAGGACGGTTATATAAGCTGAGCACACCTTGACCTTAGTGAACTTAGCGATGCACTTTTTTGCTACAAGGTTCTACATGCATTAAAAGACTCCTTCCTGTGTAGCAATTGGTGCAAAACTTTCAAATGTCAACCTCCTGCTCTTGTGGTGTAGTGCTAAGTTTCGGTGACTGCTCACTTCTCTGTTTGAAAACAGCAGGCCAACTGAAACTAAGGTGAAACGAATTGAATCTAATCCTGAACAAGAAAGAAAGTCGTTGTTGACTAAGTTGTTGCGCTAGAAGAGTCAACTCATAGTAGCCCTCTGTAGTTTGCAACCACAACTTGAATCACGGCTTTTCAATTATTTGAACGCATACACAGAGTAGATGTGACGAATGGATTGCTTACTCACATCTCTCGCCCTAATAATTTGAAGTGAGGCGGTCTTGCATCTCCATAAAGATGGTATCATGCCTTTAAACTGGAACAAATTTCATTATTCTACTCTCTCCTAGTTGAGTAATCGCCTTTTTGATGTGAAAACTGCCATACTGTTTCCCGCTCAAAGGTACAGTTCAACTTGTCTTTCAGTGGAATAGAAATAACATGCAGGAAAAACGCAACACATGACTGGCACAATCTTCTAACGCCTGATTCGAAATGGCCCTTTTTGTGTCAGAAGTAAGTAAGCGCAAAAGCGAGTTCTCAGTTATTCCAAAATGCACAGCTTTGCCATGAGACTAAGGTCAATTTTGGGAAGACAGGGGAAAACGGAAAAATGAAACATCAGACTCTGCAGTTATGATACGGTCCTAGAGTTAGTAGCTACAACCAATGAATTGTTATCTACCGGTCTTTGTCAGGTTAAACATTTAATTTACTGAAATTCCAGCACGGAAGATCTTCAATTCTGGCAGCATGTCAGCAAGCCCACAGCAGAATCCGCTCCTGCGTCCGTTGGTTGAAACTTTGAGCCAGTGGATCACTTTCCCCCTCGATTATTTGTGGTACTTGATGCAAGGTCGCGTAATGACTGGCTAATGGAGGCGGACCGAGCACGAGCATTGACTGTGAAATTTCCGAAAGCTTGGGATATTGAGATGAGATAAAAATACTGGAGAGTATAAGAATGGGTCCAACTTCTACAGTTGCAGGTTTCCATGGCATACACAGGAAGATAAGAGAGCATAAAGCTTTAAACAGATTAATTTTTTGGCGTCCTATAAACACTGCTAAGCCCAATCGATAGGCATCACGGTTCACCTGTATGGCACCACGGTTGCACCAGACCAACGCATGCTTGTAGTGCACACTGCAACACGAGGGTCGCGTTGGCATTGGTGCTTGAAAAGCGCAAGGTCAGGTGGATGAAAAATTCACTACACCTTGACTCGTTCAGCTGTGACCTACTTACATGGGAAGTTATTTTGCTCACCAGGCGATGAGAATTAGCTAGTGAGTTGTACAGAAAGGCTTCTTTTTTTACTTTATTTAGACTTAAAGTAGTTCTTCACTACTTATAGTCCAATGTAAGGGATGGAGTAGAAGGAATTACTCAGCCACAAGTCCTGCAAGACTGCTACTCCAACTGACATAACAATTAGTGAATAATGTACTTAAACTGAGCCCCTTTGATTGTGCCAAGAACATATCTGCAGTTTGCTAATTTTATGAGGACCAACACAACCACTGGAGTCTGTGCAATTAAAAATATCCACACATGATCGTTAAGTAGAATTCGTTTACGTGGTTGCCTTTATTTAAATGAAAAAGTGTTCAGTAGACATTAGAATTCCGTTCTCAAGGAAGAAACATCCCATCCTCCCTGACTGTCTACTTTGCTGGTTTGTGCGCTGTCCGCCAGCCTGTTGGACTTACCTTTGATGACAACAGGAAGGCGAGAACAACTGGAAGCAAAGCAAGGTTCATTTCTGCGCCTACCAATGCCTTTGTTTCCTTTACTTTCAGCTATGATCGATGTAACAGCCAGAAAGGCGGGGAGGATGCAGAAGATGGAATTGGCAAGTGAAACGGAGGCTACAAGGTAAATCTTCTTGGCCATCACTAGGAATACCAAAGCACCGACGGTGCAGTTGAGAAACTGGAGCGCTGCCACACAGATAGTGAGCACATCCATTAGGCGAGCAGCAGTTAGCGGGGCTAGGGTGCGAGCGATCAGAGTAAGTTGAAGAACGATACCTCCGCTGCCAGTGAGGTAACCGAGAATGTTAGTGCGAGACGTGTTAGCGGTGACCAGAGCTTCCTGAGCTATAAGAAATGCCCCGATAGCGAGAGGAAAGAGGCTGTGGAGAAGAATGAGAAGGATGTCTGAATTTCGGTGGATGCCGCGCCGGAAGTATTTTAGACTCTCAGACTTTGTGCGGCGAGTGATGACACTGTCATCGACCTGCTGCTGATTCTTCTTGTGGAAGACCATGCTGATTTGCTTGAGAAGTGGCAGAGATGAAAGATTTTGTAGTTGTTTGGTGCCTCCAAGCTAGCCAATGGGAAAAGGTGTTTTGACCTCTCACATGAGCATTTCTTTCTCTCTGGGTTGTGCAATTGAGTTTATTAAAAGCTCAGATATTCCCTTTGCAAACTAGAAGCGAAGGTCGATACAATTTACAGCTACGACATTTTGATCTCGGTTGAGTTACTGAGCTCGAGAGATAGAAAGGAAGCAGAGGACAACTTTTTAAATTTTGAAGCCAGCAGCTGTTCCGCAAATTCCGGTACACGTCCAATTTGGGAAAATTTCCCCTAAACAGGAAGTTTAATCTTGTTTGATTCGGTACCTAGAATAGCTGATTGGCTAAAATTAGGGCCACTTTAAATTGTGCGAAATCGACATTGTTCACGGCCATACAGATTCTAAAATTATGAATCAAAAGAATAAGCGCAGCTACCAAATACTTCCTAAGGACGACTCATTTTTCACGGAAAATCCAGTACTTACAATGATTTTGCCCATAAAATTTGCCGAGAAAACCTCATACCTAAGGAAAGGCGAAACACAGGAATGAAACCTGACATTGTCTACTCCTCAAGATGGGTTAAATGTCGGATTCAATGAACGCAAATTTAAGCTATAGTCTGGATACTGGGTTAGAAATCGCCACTGCATTGCACTGTATCGCTTGTCGAAGCAAGCGCTGCTCACGCGGTAAAGAATACAAAAAATTGGAAATTGGCAACTCTAAACGCGTGAACATTTACCAAAACCTCTATGGGTGGTTTGTGTTTAACTAAAGAGTAAAAAATGTTGGCACTTTCAAAAATGATCCCTAGCCTTCTCCCCCACACATAGCCAGGAACGCTTCGTCGACACAATATAGACCAAAGACTCGTTCACAGATGCAGCGTTGCGTAGAAATAGGGTTTTTCGGAGGTAACTAATGTGCCCGCATAAATAAGCATAATTTGTTCTTCTCTGTCGTTTTTTGGCACGCAATATTAACTCTACTAACGAATTTAAGCAACACAATTATTTGCGTAGAACCTAGGTGTGAACCACCCATCTGGGTAGACGACGATATTGCTCAAACACAGACCTGTACGGCTGCATAAAGCAGAGTTGTTGTACCAGCTTTGAATGGCTACCCACTCAATGCCTAGCTCGGAGTAAATGCCTACACTAAAGCCTTGTCAAAATTGATAACGGAGATCAAAAACAGTAAACAAATCGGGAACAAAATCTCTGCACAGTAGCTGTTGTGTCGTTTAGTGATCTGATCATGTCCGTTGCCCTGGCAACGCATTCATCGGTGAAATGATTGAGAATGCGTATCTATCACTAAAGACTTAAAACTCTTGGCAGGTCGAGTATGTAAGTCAAATGAAGATTGATGTTATCAAGAAATCTTAGGAAATCTGTAAAAAGAATAAATTTCACCTCAAAAAAATGGAAGCAGAACTTCTTCTTGTAACACGCAAAAAATCGCCACTTATTGCAACAAATGTGGTACAAAGAGTTTACTTCACAGTAGGCTGAGGCTTTACTGTTGGATAGCTATAACAGCTTAGGTGTATGAGGAAAAGATGTGTATTGCGTGACTGAGCGCAACCATTGACTAACCTTATTTTGAATTAGCTTGACAGCGATATAAATGCAAATTATCCGCTGAGCAGATAACCAAGTTATTAGCAAAGGGGCCTACTTCAAGGTCCAAAACTGTCTTACTTACACTACAAGGAAACTAGATTTATCTTGACATTGGGCAGCACATCCAAAATAGCAGACTATTTCGCGGTACAAAAACGGAATGGACGGAGTCAATCGACCAGAAAACAGACGAAAGCTTCAGACAATAGGAAAGTATGAAATGACTAAATCCAGTAAATGGTGATCCTCCACAGTGACATTTATTAATCCAATCGTTTCCACGCCATTGTCGACTTCACTTTCGTGAAGAGGATTCTAGCTCACTTCGAGGTGACTCAACCTCCATTGTTAACTTGACAAGGCGTTTGAAAGGTGCTTCAGAATGTGAAAGGAGAATAATGGGGTTTTGAGGAAAAATGATCACCCAAAAGGCACAATTATGGTAAATTGAATAGAAGACGAGCTGTTTAAGGTGAGAGTGAACTAACACTGTGCAAGGAAATGGATAAAGGCTTTACCTGACCACTCCGACGAAGTACACGAACTTACAGCTCACCTGGGACTGGCGGCTTTCCACTCACCAGTTACATTAATTTGTGCTTTATTCCACCCTTACAGGCACAATGATGGAGGCAACAGCATAACCGCGTCCAAAGTGAACAGCAATCCCAAGTGGATCATCCATTTACCGTGACTGCGAAGCTCCACCGCAATGCTTTGATTGACAGACGACAATCTCAAAAAAACTCAAAGCTCTCCTTTCGGAAAGTGTCGACGAATTTGCCGGAAGTCAACACGCATTGCGAACCAAAGATACGATTCCGAACATTCTCATTTTAACGCTGAAGACACAAGGTAAGATACAAGTTTTATTTCCTCCCTATGTTAATGTGTAAAATAACTGATCGACTACGAAATCGAAACGTAGCCAGACACCAGTTATCTCTGCATTGCTCCTCCTAGCCTCACGGCTTCTTTATAACCAATTACGATGGGCACTTCGACTTCGCATTGTTTCAATAGCGTAGAAATGCAGCTTCAAAAGTAGACAATCAAATAGCCCAACTGTTTACACAATCATGTGATTGATTCCGTCTTCGATAGTCCTGTCGCTATTTTAGTGACATCGTCATTCATCCACACTTCCAGTCACCAAATCATTCTCAATGCCAATAACAGGGCCTTATGCGCTAATGCTAGCAATGAATGGTAGCACTACACACACCAAGGAGAAGACATCAAAGCTCGAGGGCAAAGAAGGACATGATTACAATCTGTAAGTATATAATTTAAGTGGACAAACCACTAGAAGCGTGGGTATGTACATGTTGCGACTTAGGTGAAAGCAAAAGAAAGAAAAGGCAAAAGAACACGCATATAACACATTCGCACAAAAGAGGAGAGTTGGAGGCAAGAGATCAACAAAAGGACCAAAGTGGTAGCGAAAACATTGCAAACTACAAATCGAGCACAAAAAAACTGGACATTGGGTGCATACAACAGCGAAAGAATGAGGAGAAAACTACATTGATGAAAGCACGGGGTATGAACAGAAACAAAGACACCGAGATAGGTGAAGGAGAGTGAGAAGAATGTGAAAACTATTTTGGTGCCTCTAGGGCAAGAAGATGGCATGGGGGAAGGTTGAAGAGCTGCCGGACTGCACCGAGTGATGCCATAGCACCACCATTGTTTATGCTGGCAACAGACGACTCCACAAATTCCACACTGTTTGGTCTGCTTTCTTGACACAGACGCTTACGTGGAGGAGGCACACAAGCGGGCGAGGAATCACTAGCAGCTTTAGTCAACGCCCATTTGGAGGTTCTACTAGGCCAATGCAAACGACTGCCACCTCTCGGTGAATCAGCGGAACAGTTTGAAGAGGCAGAGGAGGAAGTGGCGGAGGTGGAAGGTGAAGTCGTGTCACCGTCCAAACTAGCAGTCTCAGAGTAGCGTCTGGCGCGTCGCCGATAGTGACGACGGGGAGTGGAGGGAGGACTAGCGGTACCCGTGCTAGTGCTAGCACTGGATGCGACAGACTTCATGCCTCGTCTCACCATGCTGTGAGGGGGGAAAGAGCGACTACCACGGCCCATGAGGTAGTCCACAATGCGTACATCTCGAAGACGGCAACGACCCCCTTGCTGAAGGTAATCCAACACATCGAAGGCACGCTCAATGCCAGAAAGGAAAGCCCCGTGAGTGCATTGCTGTCCACCCTGGCTGTCAATAGTTCCCTCGCCAGCGAAGAGGAGGCGTGGTCGACCCTACCCATACAAGGAAGCATTGTACTAAGCGATTAAGCGATCAGCACTACGGATAGTAATTGGTGAGGGACGGACATCGATACTGCATCGAAGATAACTGTTTTAATTTTGATTCAAATAGTGAGATCCGAAAACAAAGATGCCCATTCTAACCTATGAGCATTTTAATTGGCAGTTTTGCTTTTCAATTCAACTGTTTTACTCAATTCATTTCCGCATTGCTAGTCCCTTAATTTGGAAGCCGTGTAATGAGCTCGTGAGTAACCGACACTATTAAAAGCCATTTAACCCAACAACAGCAACACTCAAGGAACAGTTAAAAAGGTATTCTAAGTCTCAACGACAAACAGATACAAAGGGCTCCAATCCATGTTCGACCACTGAAGAGAGAACTCCGATTACATCGCAAATCGCACTATAAAATTTTCAGTCAATTGTGAAAGCGTATGATTACCACCATCACCACCATTTTGAACTTACGGAATAGTTCGTATTTCCAGCAGTACCCCTTGCATAGCCTGTTTATCAAAAGTAAGGCGAGTCAAAAGCAAAGCATCAACCATAACTACTTTTTATGAGAGAGTTCAATTAATAGCCCTGTAAAGATCGCAGGCTTAGCCCTAAGGAGAGAGTGAACTATGCAATAGACAGATTTTCAATGGGACTAATAAAGCGGATGACAATTTAAATCTGAATCGCCTTCATGGAAGTAAGATGATTTTCATCAAAAAGAATTATGAGAAAATCACCGGCCTTTACCAATTCTGCGTAAATATGGTAGTTTAATGTAAAAAAAATCAGGAAGTGAGAAATACTTCGTCTTTCCAGTACTGAATCTGAGAGAACACCTTCATTGGACAAAGAGCCTCACGTGCCAGAACACAATGATACCCCATCAAAAACAAACAGTAACTCCTACGGAATAGTTGCGACGATTCAGCCAAGCGCGTCTATGAGGATCTTCCAAGGCCATCCAAAGCCGCCTAATGTTACAGTGCACAGAGCCGATGCAAATCCTGTTATCTCACATTCCAAGTCGCTATCATTATCACTATCGTAATCGCCAGAAGTAGTAGATGAAATGAC